GTAACTCTCTCTTAACAATACATCACAACGATCACAACCACACACAGTGAGTAACTCTCTCTTAACAATACATCACAACGATCACAACCACACACAGTGAGTAACTCTCTCTTAACAATACATCACAACGATCACAACCACACACAGAAAGGGAAAAAAATCCATTTAGTAACAAACACAAAAAACGGAGGAGAGATAAGGACAATAGCTGTTTGATGGGAAAGAAGGAGCAAACCACACCAGAGCACTCGCCAACCACCCACACTCTACACAAATTTTTTATTTTTTTATCCATGTATTGAAGACTATAATATTACAACATATCAATACACTCACATGCATACAGCCAAAAGTGTCCATAAATATGCAGGTCCCGCCTCTCAAATAAACCTAAAAGTGTTGAAGGGGGCATAAAATCCACCCAATGACCAGCTTAGTTTTTATAAGTGTTTTACAGCACTCGCAACACAATAAGGTCATATAAGTGCCGAAGATTAGAGCTGTTACAAGAGAGCAACAAACACAAAAAAGAAGGAGGGGAGATAAAGATGATAGATGTTTGATAGGAAAGAAGAAGCAAACCACACCAGAGCACCCGCCAACCACCCACACACAAAGTATACAACACTCATTATTCAAAATTCAACGCAAGAAATTGCATTGTATTAGTAAAAAAAAAAAACAACAACACAACAGCAAAAAATTTATTTTTTTTAATCCACTAAAGAAACAACAAAAGTCTACCCTAAACCTGTGAAACTGAGGAAAGCTAGTAAAAAAATATGTTTATAAATCAAATATTTTTATAATGTAAGTTAGTATTCTAAAGCCAAAGCACAATGTGAACCTTGAACATTCATGCAAATTGACTGAAACTTCAGTAATTTGACATTGACCTCAGAATCTTTTCCAAAGATGAGACAACACAAGATATATATATAATCTTTTGACTGACGACATATCAAGAACAGAGGCAATAACAACATGCAATAACAACATGCGGCAGTCCAAGATGGTGGGCACTGGCCAAGTAAACCCACTCCAAACCTTTCACCCACCCAGACACACACACACACACACACACCCACACACACCCAGACCCACACACCCAGACACTAAGGATT